GAAATTTGATTATGATCTAGTTTTGAGAGACGTTTCTTCAAAAGAAAGTTTTGGAAAACACGACTTATTCCGATTTTTGACGTTTTAATGACGTTTTAAAACGTCACCCGTCCCCAAAGGGTTAATTATTATAATATAGCACATATATTGTCGTTATGTTCGTTTTCACATTCACGTAATTCAATTTCGATCATCTGTTTTCCATCTATGTGTGTTTTCCGCGCAAATTTTGTTATTGTAAATACCGTATAAGGTATGATGAGTACTTCTTGTTCGGATGAATGATCTGACATTGTCTCGATGTTCATTGCTGTTCCCTTATTGATTATTTCGTATTTACATATGACGGGTATTGCTTCACCCCGAAAAGCAAAATCATATACAATATTTTCCAACTGAGAAGTAGACATGAATGTTTTTGTCATTACACGTTTGTCCACCACATAGTTTCTTAGGTCTTGTTCAGAACATTGCATTCCTCGATAAACGATGCCTGTGAACGTGTATCTGAATTTTGGATGACGTGCAAGAATACCCGCGATTCTACCATGTTCTTTCGAATAATGCAGAAAACAAGCGTCAAATGAAACAATCTTAATGTTAAGAATATTTTCCGTTGTGCTTGCTAAATCTCTATTGAAACGTGTATAAAATTCTGATTCGACTGTGTACGCACGAACAATGTATGTCGGATCATCCTGAATAATCGCCAGACGGAAGTACGTTAAGACCGTGGCAATAGCAGGTGTTAGGACAAAATTTTGAAGGTAAGTCTTGATTATTACTTCAATTGAATATACATAATTATGACTCATCTGAACTAACTTTTGACGATATTTCCTGGATTTTTTTATTATATCTTCCGTAGCAAACACCCAGTCACAATCAGCAGCTTCACTGACATTACTGAGAAAACGATTGGATGACGGACAGCGAAATAATTGTTTGATTTCGTCTTTAAAAGCTTCTTGATACGGTGTCAACTTGTAACGATTAATTATTGTCTGACTAGCATGATGTGATAATAATAGGCAAACAATCTCGGTGTGGCCATAGTAAGTGGCTGCATGTAATGCCGTACTGCCGTTCGGTTCTAAACGATTAATCTCAGCAAGTGTGAGTGTGCCAAGACCCGACCGAACTTTTTCAATGTTTCCATTTCGACATGCGTGGTAAAAATTGCTACATGACACGTTCTTCGACATCGACATTTTAGATATATAATGAGTTTTTTTCTCGGCGAAAAAGTTTTCTTTTTGTACAAGGTAAGCTTACGCGCATATCTTTATATATAAATCATGACATATATTGACACTTTACAAAAAGAGAGTTATTCACTCTCCATCATTTAGATAAAACAAAAGAAGTTGATCATTTGGATTTTTTTTCTTTATTGCCTCTTTCTCGACGTTGTGCAATGGGCACGATTTGCCCGATTTTATAACTGTTTCTTTGGAAATAACTAATAAATGACTCATAATTATTTACAGATTTTGCGTTAGCTGGAAATATCCCTCGTAAAGAAAAGTTTTATAAAGGAATGTAGCATGAGATTAAAAGGAAATTATCTGTTCGTGTCACGCCATTCTCATATTGCATACATTATTGGATGCCGAGTTTCAAGTATTATAATAGACCAACCAACAATGACAAATATAGCACCTATGAACGTAGCGATAAAACGAAAAGAGTTTTCTTTATAGTTTTATTTGAGATAAAGGCAGCCTTTATACGGAAACTTCCGAATATATATGTGTAGATCAAATGCATTGGTAGCTCGCGGGAGATTCATCACGATAATCGCTGCTCTCCTTAACTTTTTTGTACACGAATGTTTCTAGTAACTTACTTCGATAATGGATGTAAAAGTTTGCATAACAAACCCAGCAGCATCAACACGAAACTCATACAGGCACATAGAAGTGTGGAATTTTCGGTAGGATTCGATAAGCGAAAGCAACAAGGTCATTTACACCAATATTGTCTCTTCAAAACAACAACTTATCAACAAACAATTTTGAAAATATTTTCAAAAGGAGAATTGTTTTGTCTTATGAAAGAATTAGAGACAGCTCTGATTGGTTTAGAAAATGAAAATAAAACTTGAAGTAACTTAGAAAAAATCAAAGATGTGAATCATGATGAAAAGAAAAAGGAGACAAATCTTTCTTTTCTCTTCGCTTACAACTACAGACGGATGTGTCGCAGTTCGCCAATTCAACTTTCGCCGATGTTCGCCAGTAGACATTCGCCAATAGGCGAATGTCCAAAAAAGTTGGCGAATGTCAATGAGACATTCGCCACGAGTCATTCGCCAATCGACCAATTGGCGAATGTCAAGGGGACACTCACCATAATTGGCGAATGTCGAACAATGGCGAATGTCGTGTGGACATTCACCATAATTGGCGAATGTCGTAGGGGTACCGGCGAATGTCGTGTGGACATTCGCCAGTCGCCAGTATGGCGAATGTCTATTGGCGAAAGTTGAATTGGCGAAACGCGACTTTACCCTACAGACCAACATCTTTCTAAAGGAAAGTCTCCCCACTTAGATTTTCCTTCGACGTTCCCATTTTGTAGAGGATACTTCGTAGCATATTGTCTTACTGACATTATCTGGCTGAGAAATAAATTAATTACTTAAAAAAATATTGTTAAGTTTTTGAACAAGGGACTATTATTAAAAAAATTTCTGTTCATTCTCCATTCATCATAATAACTTGGTTCTTGCCTAGATCGATAGAGACCTGTGTGGAAAATATTTACTACGAGAAAATATGTAAAAAGTTTTGTTCTTTCTTTTCTGTTATTGACTAATTAGCACTAATCAACGTTAATTTAGCCTACTCTATCAGCTTACAGTCCTATTTGCAAAATAAGGATTCAACAAAAGAATTTAAGCAATACCTCATCTGGTAGATACTTTCACGGACTACAAGACTGGCTAGCTTCAAAGTTTTAAAATTTAATGCATTTATTAGAATTTTTTTATAATAGTTCCTTGCTCAAAAATTTAAGAACAGTTTTTTAAGTAATCAATTTTTTTCTGAGCCAGATGATGTCAGAAAGCCGAAAAAAAGCCATAGTTCTCTATCGAACTACGCTAAAATCAATTCTTCATAGCAAAAAATGAGGTTTTTCTTGAAATTTTAAAAATAGGGCAAAAACCTCGAAAAAAACTTGAAAATTTTTTTTTATCAGAAACTGTAAATCCGGGAACCGAAAACTTTGTTGGGACATATACTCCGAAGTGTCCTCTACAAACTGGTGAAAAAAAGGGTGGGGTGCCCCTTTAAGTAATACACATCTAGTATTTAGTATCTTTTTATCGTTCCGTATTTATCAACATATAAACGCATTTTGGTAAAAAGAAAGGCGAAAGCAGAACGGAAAACTTTTTTTCCGTGCATCACTCTATGAAATGATGCTTTAAGTTTTAAACATCTTGTTTGATCTATGACTCATGCATTCTGTATAAAAAGACAGAGAAAAGCATCAAACATTATGTAATATAGATCATATAGATACTACATAATGACGATTTAACAAGTTATATTTATAACTTTTATAAAGAACCTTCTTAGGACCTAGATGATCTAGTCTATCTAGTTTGTATAAGGTAATTTTGGATGCTGACCACAAATTTGATGTCTGCTTATCCCTTATCGAGTTTCTAAGTGAGTCTTCAGAAATCTGGTATCTGGAGATCCATCACGAATTGGCCAACCAAGAGATTCTAGTCTGGCTAATTTGCAGAGCGCATCGAGTTATCAATGTAAAACTATTGAACAATTCATAATTAAGTTATAATAATTGCACTATCGCTGTAAAGTTCAAGTATTTCATCCAAAATCACCTTAGAAAAACTAGGTTTAATCAGAAAAGCTTTTAAGCACCCTGGAAGTTTCATTAGATTAATTTTAGTAACCCTAGAATTATTTACGTAGGTTATGGCTATAAAATACGTTTAAGCTAAGATCATTATGCGAGAAATACTACTGTTCATATTCACTGTCAATGTGGAATTTGCTGAAAGGTTGTTACCATATGTCAACCGTAACATTCACTTACGTTAGCGAACTAAATAACACTACTTCTTTGGAAGCATGTCGTGTCTTACAAAACAATGTTTCTAGATTCCGGAAGATTAATGATACACAAAAAAGTTGAGGACTGTTAGAATAGACAGAAAATTTTCCTGCAGGATCTTTTCCTTTCAATATTATTTAGCATATGTCTTATGAATGTAGCACTAACTTGCGAGAATGATGCTAACTATTTTTGATGAAAATCTGACTCTCCTCGTGAATCTGTAATGAATACTTAGCTGAACAGATTTATCAAATAACGAACGAAATATGCTTCCAATTACCCATGAAGTTTTATTCAGTAAAATATTGCGATTGGAAGCGATAATTTTAGATGGTTTAGAAAATATCACGATGAACATCAAAATTATCGAGGCAGAATAAATTCACTGAGCTCTTTCGAAATAAAACACTTTATCGCCACAAAAAAAAGTATTCCTTTATTGCTAATGTTTACTGTGATATTTTTTATTGAAAGAATGCCGTAAATATATTTTATCCTGATATAAGTCGAGAGTTTTATTCAGAGTTATAAATATAACTTTTGTCACGATATTCTTGTCTCGATAGATGGTCATAAAATGATACCCCGATACATATTAATACGTTATATTTTTTTTTCGACACGAGCTTGATGCTTTTCTTGAGAAATACCGACCTGCTGAATATTTTACCATAGCTTTCTTGCGTGACTCAATTGGCTAGTGGGCAGACAACCTACTTCAAACATACGTAGTTCGAATTCCGGCAGCGGCGATCGCGTAATAGTGTTGAAGAAGCTATCTAATGCTCATTGTCTTGGTACCTTTGGACACAGATGCAATGGAGTAACCCGATTTTAGTGCCGTTGGAATTAAAGTTTAAAAAAACAAACAAAAAAATACCCGAGTTTTGTAGCTTAAACATTCCTCTTCGAAATGAAATGTAGACAAAGTTCAGTCGATCGCCCGCTTAAGGGGTGAAAGGAAAGCCACTTCTTACAAATGTGGCTTATTTTTACAACATAACATCTCGTAAGAGAGGGGTCCACCTCTCCCAAATATGTGCCCTCAAACTATGTAGTTATAGAGGACACCTGATTACATATATTCTTAAGGTCGTTCGATGAATTTATAACCATTGACAAAGTTATTGATCAATTAAGTTTAAATTTTAATTTAATTATTTAAAGTCCAAGTTCTCATTTTAAAAAACTTGTAGCTCGGCCAAGTTGTCCACGTAACGGTCGCCTTTTCGTGATTTCGTCACGATTTTTGTTGTTTTACGAGTCTCGTGGCGCTCGAACAAAAGGAAACTCAAGGACCGTTTCTAGTCTTGTAGAGAAAAGTGAGCTGAACAAAATGTGATATTTTCTGTTTCCGCAGAGTGTCGTGGTTCTCAAATATNTATTCTGCGAAAACGGAAAATATCATACTTTGTTCAGCTCACTTTTCTCTACAAGACTAGATGTAAACAATTCCTTAGTTTCCTTTTGTTCGAACGCCAAGAGACTCGTAAAACAACAAAAATCGTGACGGAATCACGCGTTACGTGGACAGGCCGAGCTCAGTCAAAAATAATCGTAGAAAAGTCATTCATATATTACTTGATAACCAATGGTATGATGAAAAAAGTTGTAAAAACCGTTTTTTTAAGACAATAATTTATAATTAATCAATGCTAATGAATACTAATTAGCATCACTCTGGTGCCCTACACTTTTATTTGCAAATTAACGGCTTATTGATTACGGTAAAGCAATACGACATTCGACAGAGATTTCCAAGCGCTACAAATCCCTGTAGTTTCTGTTTCAAAATGTTACCGATAAGCAGTTATTCGTACTCAGTTTTAGGCAAACGGGGTTTCTGTATAGAGCAGCCATGGATTTTTCTAGAATAACTCGAGAACCAAAAGAGATAGAGAGTTCGGGTTTTCAGCATTTTGTAGAAAAGGTTTCACTCTATCTCATATATACTTTGTGCTGCAAATCTCGGTTTTTCAGGTAGTATACCTGACGTATGAAAAGCAATGAAGTTGTAATTTCAACATGGTGACTAGATAGTCCAAAGTGTTTTCTACAATTCTGCGCAAGGCCGACCTCTCTATCTGTTGTGGTTAACAGGTACATTCCTGAGTCA